CTGAGTCTAGACAAGCTTATGAGTTCATGAATAGTTTCTCAGTAGCTTGAATTTACATGTCTAAGCTGACCTGGAGATGGGTTCAAGTTACTCAACTAAAGTGTCAACACAGGCAATTAGAAATATTGTAATCTCATTGTCACTGTATGATTGACTGACATTCCTTTATCTGTTCTGTATGTGATGACCTCATAAACTTACTGTAATGCCTGCATTCTGTCATCAATTGCCCTGTACCTGTGTACCTGACCAGCAGGGTATAAAATACCCTGTAGTTGTATTGAAGTTTTGCAGCGAGTTCACCTCTGTCTGTCCAGTAATGCATTATCATGAGTATGGACCCACAGGGAACCTGGGCCAAACAATAAAGCCACAGATGGTCTGGATGCTTGATCTTTCCCATGAACCTGAGTTTTATTTCCTCCTCACGAATTGAAATTCTGGGATTTTCTGACAATTTGGCAATGAAGGTGGGATCGTGGGTTTTTGGCCCTTTATCCTGGGCGGAAGAGATGGTAAGTTCGGCCAAAATTCTCTCCATTGTGGGAGCACAGATACTGGCCATCTCTTCTGTTTCGCAGGCAGGTCAATGTAATTAGATCTGGTTTTGAACCTCATTGCATGTTGGCTTTGGTTGTGGACACCCAGGAAGCATGGGGGTTTCGGAATCTCGGCTTACTACTCCATGGACACCTCTGCATCAAAATGCGGGGTGGTGTAGATGGCCATGGACGGCACCCGCAGGGGTGTCGTGGAAGCGCTTGGTATTTTGATGTAAAACAGCATGGTCAGACCTAACTCAGAGAATCCAATCTAAATTGGCCCCAGAGGGCTCATTTGATTAGAATTGGCTACACCTCTTGCAAAAGCATCTGGCGGAAATACATCCTAAGGAGATGGAATAAGGGTTGGATTGGTCCAAGCTGGTGGAGGAGAAAAAGCTAGCTAATATGGTATTTGTGCACCAGAAAATATCTACAAGTGTGAGTACATATTTGCACTGGGGTTTGTGTAGAGTTTTATGTTCACTGTTTGTGAAGGTCTTGTGTTCATTGTTTCTGTCTGTTTTCTGTCTTGTCTGTTTGTATTTTAAAGTGTTCCCCTTTCTGGGAGGTAGGCATAGCCCAGAGTGGGTTTTGGGAGTTCCTCAGGAAATAGAAGCTCCCCACGCAGCCACGCCAATCTGTCCTCTTCAAGGCACAGTTGAAAGCAAGGGTGTGGATGGGTGTTCTTGCCTCTGAAATGAGAATGTGTGAACCTGGCTTTGATTGAGAAATAGATTCATGAGGTCATTTGCCTGAGCCCAAGCATGGCTGAGTCCGGCTGGGCAAAAGGTGATGATCAGGGCATGTGTGTGAGAGATTTTTTCCTTCCCCCATTCCTTCTATATGAGCTAGAACTGGGAAGTAAGGAAATGTGTGGCCCTTGAATTGGGCTTGCAAACACAGGTCCTACCCAGTTTTCTGGACATCCTCAATAAGATTTTCCTGTGTGAAAGCCCTGTATGAAAGAGGGGTTATATAGAAACATTTTTATGCAGGTCCTTTCCTTGTCAGAAACCGGGAACACTGTTTTAATGTCTTGCAAGTTTTTCAGCCTCTTCCATCTGCCTTATAGCCCTCCTAGGTAGGAAGATTTCCTTCTTGTTAGATTAAATAATTTCATTTGAAATTCTAGGAGGGGATGCTGATGGGCAGATGAAAGATGGAAAAAAAATGTATATACTGTTGAGAATTCTCAGAGTAGGAATCCTGAAAAGGATTCCCAGAGAGATAAAGCTTTTGGGGACATTTGCTGGTAAAGTCTTGGAAATTTGAATGGTTGTGTTTAGCAATTAGCCTGAGCAGTAGCAGGCTGGAGTTCAACAGGGCAGAGTGTAAAATCAGGGGAAGACAGATTGCAGTTTTTCTCCCCCTGTTGAACTTGCAACTGTTTGGAATGTGAGGTTTGAAAAAGGCAAACAGATTTTTTTTTTCTGGATGTTGTGTGTATGCCATGTGAGAATGAGAGTGCATTTGACAGAGAGTAATAGAAACATCATAAATATGCAAACTTGTGTGCTCTGGCGCTTAGAATGTTGGACTAGGCACCCCGGAGATCTGAGTTCTATCCCCAGTCTGCCATGAAGCTCCCTCAGTGACTTGACTCAGCCACACTCATCCTACCCTACCTCACAGGGCTTCCCCCACTTTAACACACTGAGTTTTGTACTCTTCTGAGAGAGGTGCTAACTTGATGATCTTACTAAGTGATGCTCACAACAAGAGATTGAAGTCCTCATCTAGTAAATGCTAGATCTTGTATGTAAACTGAATCAGTTGAATGCACTCAGATCATGTTGCAGGGGACTGGAAATCAAACTGCTCTGCCGGTGGTTCCACTCTGTCTGTAACTGGCGTATGCTGTTGTATAGAAACAGCCTGCTTCAGCTTGCTCTGTAATCCCAATATCTTTCCTTCTGCAGGACTTTTTCTTTCTTTCCTTAGACCTTTGTATGTACACATTGCTACTATGATCCTTTTGGTATTTTCTGAACATGGGGGCTTTAGGAGCTACTGGGATTGCTTTGATCTTGCAGAAACTGAATAGTTACTGGCTACTGAATTTACAGTCTAACAAGTTCTGAGAAAGCATACATTATTCCATGAACACTAAATGTGTATGATCTGCAACATGGAGAATTGTGAGTAGCTTCCTTAACAATTTTTTCACTAAAAAAAAAAAAGACAAAAGGAGCAGTAGAAAAGCAGAGGAGAAATGCATATTGAAGGTGACATTGCCCGTAAAATTCCATGACTGAGGCAGTGCATGGCACAACAGTAATATACTTGAAGAATTTGTAGCTGGTCAGTGCCTGTGACACAGCATGCATGAATTGAACATGTCATTATCAGTCATTAGTTGAGTCCTTATTCAATGGACTCAATACAAGATCTTTGAGGGGGATCTGAAAATTAATATGGAGGCAATATAGTTGTTAAGAAAAAGATATAATGTGATTCAAGGGCCAACTCCAGCCAATCATTTGGCAGGTACCTTCTGTTCAATTAATATCTGAAGACTTTTCAAAGGTAGCATTATTTTAAGAGCAATATAGTAGTCCAGCGTGAAACTGACAAAGGCATGTGAATCACTGTTATCTTGTCGCTCATTTTATAAAAATGAAGAAGCAATATTGGTTAGCTGGCTCGGTAACTGCATGAGCTGGTGTGAAGATGGGTGTAAAGTATGTGAAATTCATCCAGTATTCACTGCCACTAGAAACTTCAGCGAGTTGAGCACAACTGGGGAAAGTGACATGTGGGGGGGGGATGTCTCCCACATCATATCATTCAAGTCCCAAGACAACAAAACTTCAAGTGAAGGACCCCAGTGCTAAATATATAATCTTATTTACAAAACGTGGTCAAAATTAACATCAAAACGCTCTGTGGATCACATATATTCTAATCCTGGCATCGGGAACAGATATATCCCCCATGAGTAAGTTGATTAGGAATTTGTTCAGGACAGACAAAAGGAAGCACTCCTTACAGTGCACAATGTATCTTCAGAAGCTGCTGTCACCCTGTGTCATCAAGGTAACTGACTCAGACGGCTTTACAAGGCGGTCCAGAAAAGTCACGTGTTGTATGACTTTATCAGCGACTGTTAATGGAACCACCGTGTCCAGAGACAGCATTCCACTAAGTACAAAATGCATGGCAGGAATACCAGGGTAGATAGTTGCTTGCTTGTTTGCAGCACTTGCTCTTGCTGTTCTTGGAAACATACGGCCATCTACAGTTGGAAACACGATGCTGAACTAGACGGCTGATCTGACCCAGCTCAGGCTTTTCCTAATTTTCTTATGGAATTTCGCCAACCCAGCGATATGTTAGGACTGCAACTCCATTCATAACCTGCACGGCCATGAGCATCAAATTCCCCTGTTAAGTATGGCTAAATGGACAACTACATATGCAAGCCAACCCTACCAGTCCATTCTAAAAGTTTTGTTTTCTAGTTACATACTCATTGTGATGTATTTTTAAAACACAAAAAATATTCCTAAAGGGCACTGCCCCCGCACCCTGGTTAAGTCTCAGTGCCACCTTCCCCAACCCGGTGCCACCCAGATTGGATTACCAGCAGCCATGCGGCGTGGGAGAAGCTGGAAGTTGTAGTCCAATATATCTGAAGGACCGGGTTGGGGAAGTGTGCTTCGCTGTATCCAGAAGCAGACACTGTATTTGATCTTTGCCGGATCTAAACCTTCTCTCCATTGCCAAGACCGGAAATATTGCTGGTTAAACAACACACAAAGAAACGCTAAACGTGGTTTTATTATTCCTCCCAGTACGCAGCATCATTGCTTTAAAAAGAAAATAACCCACCCACCCTTTCCTTAGATCTCTGCTTCTGACCTGTCGTATTCTTTCCTAGCGCGCTGTTCGCGCTAATTGGATTAGGACTCCGCTGGTATGATTCGCGCTCTTATTGGGCAACTGGCTTGTCAATCTAATCTCAAAGCTTCCACCCCGCCCTAGAGAGATGCCTTCAAAAATGTCACGGGATGGAAAGGGTCCTCCGCATTCTGAGTGGTCAGTTTTCTCGTCACTAACTCGGGCTCGCCCCGCCTTCTATCATTGAGAGTCGTTGCGCAAGCCGAACGGAACATTGCTAGGGCAAACTTTAAAAGCAAACAAACGACCAAAAGCAAAACCTTTCCATGCCTATAATTTCAACGAGGAGACAAAAGCTCTCCCAAATTATGCATAGTTAATATGGCCATCACTCAAGCTGAAGTTCCACCCAAGGCAAAAATAAGTCCCGTGACCCCTTGAAGCCGAGGGGCGGGCTTCGGTTTTGGCATTGGTCACAAGGGTTCGCCACTCAGAGGATAACCACGCCTCCTTTAACGTGCGCTGCCTGCCTGGCCTATGGCGTAGCCCATTCGTGGCGGGAGGAGGGATAACCTTGGGTCGTGAGGCAGGCTGGTTGGTACTTCCTCTTTCGCTCCGCTCTGGTGGAAGCTGCGGGGCGGCGGCGGCAGCGGCAGCGAGAGGGGCGATGGAGTCGCGGCTGGCCGGGTTGGCCCTTTGGGTGGCAGCAGCGCTTGTGACGGGTAGGCTCGAGTCTGTCGCTCCGATGTTGCCGGTCGATGCGCGGCAAGGCTGGAAGCGGAGGACCGCTGCGGGTTCCGTCGATCGACGGAGGGCTCCCCTCCAGCACCCTGTGGACGTTGCGGGGGCAGGTGGAAGGGCTGGCCGTGGGATGAGATGGGGGGGGCGGACAGTCAGCGTGGCAGAGCTAAGGGGAGCCTGGACGGGGCTGGTCGCGGCGGGGCAGAACCTGTCGGGCGAGGGGCTGGGGCGTGCCTGTGGAAGGCTGCGTGGTAAGGGGTTAGGAGCCGCCTAAAACGTGGGGGACTGGCCACTGTAGTTCAGGGACAGGCAGCCTCCAGGCGTTTTGGACTAAAACTGTCATCAGCCACAGGGTGCATAGCCAGTGGGACTTGGGGACTGCAGTATCTGGGAGCTACCAGGTTACATAGCCCTACTGTAATAATTCTGATAGGGAAGGGGTGTGTTGGGATATAATGATACTCAGGTGGCATTTTCTTAATGTTGTAGCAGTGATGTGACTTGATGCAGAGATGATCTTTAGGGAGGGAGATCGGAATAAAATTTATTATCTATATATAATGTGGGGGTTTTTTTCTTTTCAACTAGTATGACATATGCAAGAGTAAACCTTTTAAGAGAGAATTACATGGAGCATTTGAAAGTTGCTTTAAAAGTCAAGCAGCTGTTAAGCTGACCTGATGTTGAATTTCTGGTTACAGATAACTGGTGACTGGTAACTTGTTTTATAGCTGTTACTTATGCACTCAGATTTATGGTATCTCCAAAGTATACTTTGACTAGTATAGGATGTTGAGAATGATAGCTTGAACTCCTTCTCAGCTAACTTTGTACATATCTGGATGTTACATAGTAGATGAATCTAACAGGTTTGTTTGCTTTAATGAAAAACAACTGTGGAAGGCTTTCCCAGTCGGAATTATATGTTCTTCTCACTGGCAGGTTTTCCACCTGCATGTGGGTATTGAAATGATACAGACACTTCTTTTTCCTAGCACCCATGGATGCAGCTTTCAGTTGAAAAACAATTCAAGGGAAGGGTCAAGCAGTTCCAACCAGCTTCCTGTTCCTGCACTCAGTCAGCTGCTTTTCACTTCAAAAAATGTCAGACATCTGCTGTCACCCATCTGCAGCACAGTATTTAGCTTGGTCCTCCATCTTAATGTAGCAAAACAAAAACTTTGGTAGCTCCCTTAATACAGCAGCAACCTCCCTCCTACTAACAATCTTTAGTCGTAATTAAATAATTGATTTAATTATTTTATAGTTTTTATAGTTCTACTTGTAAAGAGCAAATGTAGATACGTTGTATCATTAGGGAAAAAAACCCCACAATTGGGCAATCCCTGTATTAGGGCCATCCAGAATGTCACAAGGAAGTACAAGTTTCTCAGTTCGCCCAGAACTTTTCATCAAGCCAGATCAGGAATAAGCAACCTCTAGATAATTTGGACTTCCCAGCATGGTCAGTGGCTGGAGAGTATGGGAGTTGTAGTCCAACATCTATAGAGGGTTGCCTGTGTCTGGGCTAGGTGGCACAGAAAACAGGAAAAGAAAGAAAAGCCTGAAAATCATTCCAGCAGTTATGGCCATGAGGGCTACATCTTAGTTTCAAAATGGAGATTGTGGACTCGGGGAATTTGGCAGCACTCATTGGTACATCTCTCAGATTATACATAAAATTCTGAGATAAAGAAATAAACCCCATCAACACCATTCTGAAAACTTTAAAGTTGTCTGCAGTAACATGGCTCAGTGTGGACATTTAAATACATGCATATTTTCAGCTCTGATCTTGTTTGAGGAAGCCCACCTGCTTTGCATTATATGAGTTGGATAATTCTGGCAAGATCTTGTAGCTGGATCTTGTTGGAACAAAGCAAGAGCCTTTTGTCAGTTCATTCCTGTATTTTCAACACCTGCCAAGCTGTCCTAAATGCACATTAAAATGAACCTGAAAGAAGCTTACACTAAAACATTTTATCCAGTACTTCTAGCTGCTGTGTACAAATTAGTAGACAAAATGATTTAATTGTAACTTAAGACTCATTTTGACTCACTGTAAGGAAGAAATAACTCCACATCCTTATTAATGGCAAGATTAAAAAGTGTAAGAAGAAGTCCTTCTAATTCATGGTCAGCTGATAATATTGCTGTAAGCAATTGCTCTGAAGACAGGAAAGAAGCTATTTTGAGCACTTGCTTCTTGTACTAGAATTGCCTTGTAAGCATGTAAGAAGAAGCAGAACCATTTACCTGTTTCATTAGGAAATAGGTTGGATGTTTTGTCTGAAGCTTAGTGGGAGTGATCTGAGAATGTCTTAAGCATACTGTACTATTGACTGGATTTGCATTATCAAAGCAGCCTTGGCAGTTCTTTTCTGCTGATGTACCATGCAATACCTAATGACCCCCAAGCCCTGTCTGAACCTTGTGAGGTGCGTAGCAGGGGTGGCTTTGAAACCACCCCAGAATCCATAATTTTTTGTACAGTTCTGGCATGGTTTTGAATCCACCTTCTTCTACACACCTTGCTGGATTCAGACAACATGGGAAGCTGCACACCACAAGGGAAATTAGTCAAATCCTGCAGTGCTTGACTAGCATATTGGGCAGGGAAAAGAAACCACCATGGTTTCCCCTCCTCTGCTTCCAATGATCATGCAAACTTGGGCATTAACTGTTTGGGTCCAATGATCTAGTTAATGGTGTATGTATTAGAGACTTGAGCATACTCTAATGTATAATATATTGAGACTGTATTTGTGACGCTTAAAATCCAGGACATGGTACAATGAACATAAATTATACAACACCAGGAGCAGGTTAGACACAAGGAATAACTTCCTAAGTGTCAGAGCAATAGAACAGTGGAACCAGTTGCCAAGACAGGCTTTGTGCTCTCCTGCAGTTAGAGACATTCCAGAAGAAGCCAGACAGTTATCTGAGTGGGATGGTATAACTGGCATCCTACACCAACCAGGGGTTGGGCCCAATGGCCTTCTTGCAAGAATAGGTCAAAGAATGGACACTTGTCCATTACTCAAATAAGCCAGTAGCCCAAATGATAGGACTTTAACTCAGCATTTTCTCTTTAGATACCATCCAGAAACTTTGAATACTTGACAACTTTTTGTTTGTTAAACCCATTTTAAATCTGCATGTGTCATGGCATATCTTCCCTTTAATATGTTGCTACTTTTTACATATTTACACTTTTAAATTCTTATTTATTATTAAACAGCTGGTATTTGCATTTCTGTAATAAGAGCCTATATTGTTTTAAGAGCTGGATTAACAAGCAATTTCAATAAAGCCAAAATATCAATTTCCTAAAAAATTAGGGCAAGTGAACTCCTTCCCTTTATGACAGTTAAAGGAAGGAAAACTTTAAGAAAAATTTCTACATATAAAAAATGTCCTTTGTCCTACATTCAGATGGTCTATTTACAGATACACTGCTGTTGATATAAATGAATGTTGTAGAATGGTGCATGTTTACTGTCAATACTTACTCTGTTTTCATATAGTCTTGGAGGTGGTTATAGCTGCCTCCAAGGTTAATGTGGTCAGAGTAACTGAAGAAAAATGCTATAGCTGAAACATTATACTTACAGGAGGCTTTTATGAGGGGCTAGTCTTGTTGCCTGTTTCTTGTTAATCTGTATTGACACCTGACTCTACTTCCAGAACGTGTAGGAAATGGAGGGGCAGTAGAGTACATGATTGGCATGCAGAAGGCTCTAGGTTCGGTCCTCAACATCTCCAAATAGGGCTGGAAAAATTGCTGTCTGAGATCCTAGAGAACCACTGCCACAGAATGTCAAAACTGGGCATTCAGCAGCTTCCCACGTTCCTGTGATAAGCAACCAAATCCAGCCCACTGTGAGTTGCAGCCCAGCCATCCAATTGCTACCACAGCAGCTAATGTGATGTGAACATATATAAAAATTTGTGTACACTGGCTCAGTCCAGCCCAATATAATCTAGTATAATTGGCAAAGGCTATCCTAGGTCTTAGGCAACAGTCTTGTTCAGTCTTGAGATCTTCTCACTGGAGATACAAAGAATTGAATCTGAGACCTTCAGCATGCTATGGTGAGCGTTATCACTTTTAGAGTCTCACCTGTGACAAATGGGTTGGGAATGAAGTGCTGGCCCATCACGCCCTTCTTAAATTGGCTCTACTGAAAAAGTAACTGCTGAGCATAGGTTCTGGCACTAAAGGTCCTAGGATGAAAAGGTGGGACAGTCTTTCCTGTGCAGCCATTTCAATATGTGTAACAGTTGCATTCTGTGTTTGTGTATCAGTGCTTTCTTCCAGCCTGAACATTATTTGTATCCTGTTCTTTATCTGCTTAAGTAAAAGACAGGAAGGCAAGACTTCTGGTTATTACTGTTGGGCACATTTACATATTTGGTACTTCACTTGGGCCATATTTTGCTACCTTAATGCTGGTTTCAGGAGTGTACTATAACTTGGGAGAGTAATCACTAAATAAAATTCAGAGAGCGTTTACTGTAAGCTGAGGGCTTCTCCACACGTGTATCGGAAATGACAAGGCAAAAACAGCTGTACTATTCTGGAATTCAGATGAAGAATTCTACATGTTGTTGGTGCCTTGTGCACATCTCAGACAAATTGCCTGCAGATACAACACAAACAGGCAAAGTTCTGGGCTAGAGTCTTTTTTCAGGTGATGTATTCATTTTCTCTCTTCAGAGGGTTTTTTAAACATGGAAGAGCATTCAAAAACTTTTTTTAAAATCACCTGCACCTGAAAGTGGTATGGCCCATTCATTCTGCCATCTCATATGTTGTATGGGTCGCAGGCCAAAGACTCTTGCAAAAAGGCACGATATTATTTAAAGGAATGACTTTATCAATCTCTTCCTATTTCAGGTATTTCTGCTAATGAATTCAGCATATTAAGATCTCCTGAATCTGTTGCATTCCGTGAAGGAAGTTGGCCGATACCTGGGGAGCGAATTCCAGATGTAGCAGCATTAGCCATGGGCTTCTCTATTGAGGAAGTATGTTATTCATGAAGTCCTCACAGTCACAACATTACTGTTTTTGAAACCACTGAATGTCAAGCCTGCACAGTCGCCTTTTTCTCAACAATTCATTTTGGGAATTTTGAACAAAAGTATTATTTGACATTCCTCTGATTTGCATTAAGTGTTTTTACCAAAATCACAATTCTGGTAATCTGTGAGTTGCTCTCATCTACAGATGTCCTCAGTGATATGAACTCTTCATACCTTAATCACCAGCAGGTTATGATATACACTGTCAAAGACAATATGATATACGCTGTCATAGAAACAAATTTTTGTGTATGTCTGGCTTTCACTGTTTGTTTTTAAACATATGTTAAAAAGCTTACAAGTTTTCTCAAATATCTGAACTGTTACAGGATCTGCCTTGGCCTGGATTAGCAGTAGGCGATCCCTTTCGGCGTCCTCGAGCTACAGTTCTAGTCACAGTGACAGGGATAGACAAGCTAACGCTGCCCAAAAATGGCATATCTTACCCAGTTGAGAATGTAAGTATCCCAGGGTATAGATTCCAATGCTTACTCTGGTGGTCAGAACCTCTGTATAGGAAGAGAGGTGCTATTAAAAAATCGGCTTTTTCACTGCTTCATCTGTGACTTGGTGCACTAATATGAAGTGTTCTGGAGCTAGCAGGGAGGACCAGATGTTCATAGAGGAAATTATGTAGGTTTCCTATTCACTTAAGTGACCTGTTGCACTGGCTGCATACAACAAAAGGGATCCCATGCTTCTGGGATCACATGGCCAACTGGCTGGCCACTGTGTGAACAATACAGAATTTTATGGACTTTCTGATCCAGCTCTGTTCTTCTCATGTGAAACAAACAGTAATCACAGTCTTATTTTCAGTTTTCCTTCAGTTTGCTACAAAGACTTGTTTGTTAGTAATAGAGGGCGAATACACCATGTTGGGTCTGATCCAGGCCCAACCAGAAACTAAAACACTGTGCCAGGGAGTACTTCTCCTTTTCAAGGATTTCAGTTACCTGATGGGCAGCTGAGCATTAGGGTTTGGCAGTGCTTGGCTTATAAAAGTTAGTATCCTAAATGTATCCCATCTAACATGATTGATTGCAGTACAATATCCCAGATATCTATGGATAAATGGAGACATATATTATGTGAAAAATTTTCCCTAGAAAAATGTGGGGTTGAAAATTTTCAGATGCTTACATCAATGAGTATTGGATGTTCCTGAATTTTGTCTAGTGTAGGTGCCTCAGGATTCTTGGATCTTGTACAACTACTACCCATGTTGGAAGGAGGCTTGGGTGAACCTAATTAAAACATTAGGATTACTGTGATCATTGCGTTAGAGAATTTTTGGTTTTTTACATTTCAGTATGCTGCTGTTTTCTAGTGGCTTTAGAATTACATACTATTTAGGGAACAATATTTAGGCACAGTAAAAATTTTACATGGGCAGGTATTTCTTAGGAGCTTTCTGTGTGAATGTCTTAATGGAACAATACATAAGCAATGGTATATACTGTAAGTTATTATCTTCTAATTTTCCTTAACCCTCAGCAGGAATCATTGACTAGTATTTTCATATTGACCTAGGCAATTCCTTTCAGCCTGGATGGTGTTGCAAATGCAATTCATACCTTGTTTTCAGAAGAAACTCCTGTAGTCGTACAGCTAGCTCCCAGTGAAGAGGTAAATAGATTCATTTCCAAAATAAATTAAGTCATTTTGTGCACATGTGGAAATTGTCTATATCTTTCCAAGTTGAAAAGAAGTTGCTTTTTTTTTTTTTTGCCAAAGTAATTCAGTATTGTGTCACTCCCATATTGTATATGATGGTGCTTCTTTCAGAGAGTGTATATGGTTGGAAAGGCAAATTCTGTATTTGAAGATCTTTCTGTCACCCTGCGTCAGCTTCGGAATAGACTGTTCCAGGAGAATTCTGTTCTTGCTTCTCTTCCCCTCAACTCACTAAGCAGAAACAATGAGGTAAGACAAGGCTCAACATTAGATACTCATTAAAATTCCCTCTTCTGTTCTTTATTACGTCCAATTTTGAACAAAATAACATTTTTGGTGTACATGTTTTTCATGCATTTTCTTAATGCAACATCATGACCATGGTCTGACTGTCTGTCTGTCCCTCCCCCCCCCACTCTCTCTCTCGCGCACACACACACAGTAGCTGTATATCCATCATATGTGCATGGTACAAAAGCACTGAGGCACAGTTCTTGTCTGTGGCCAGCTTGTCACTGATTCGAAGACAATGGATCAGGTTAATTGGTACACTCAAGTGATTCATCAGAAGTATGTGTGTGTCTCATCTGTCATCCATGCAAGTAATGTGACCTCTGAATTGGCTTTGAGACACTTCAGTGTAGATGAAATGCTTAAGTAAATTCAGGTCAGAAATACTTAAAACTATTTTTTCCTTAGGTTGACCTGCTCTTCCTGTCAGAATTGCAAGTTTTGCATGATATCACAAGCTTGGTAAGCAAAGACTCAGTAAACAAACAATTGATTCTAACTGGGGTTGGCAGCTGATAGTCCATTGGCTAGACCTGGACAAAGGAAAGTTGTTACTTGGCCCCAGGCACAGTGGCAGCAGCTTGCTTGTACTCTCCTAAGTCATGTAATTGTTCTGCTGTCTTGATGCCACTTGCCTGAGGAGTCCTTACACTGGAAAGGAAGTTGCTGGATAAGCAGTACTCCTTGATAAATGACTGCGGGAGCAGGACAGAACCTGATTACTGTTCTCTAAAACAGTGCAATAGGAAAAGCTTCTTTCCAAAATTCTGTGGCCCTGCTTTTCATTTTGGCATTCTTTTCATGTTCCTTTTTTTCCTGGTTGCCTCCAAGCTATCCAGGCACAAACATCTGGCTAAGGATCATTCACCAGATCTGTATTCCCTGGAGCTTTCTGGGTTGGAAGAAATTGGTAAACGGTATGGAGAAGATTCACAGCAGTTCAAGGATGCTTCTCAAATTCTTGCAGACTCCCTACAAAAGGTATCACTAGTAGCGATCTTGCTGAAGAATGTGTTGCCAAGCGTGCTACTCTAAATCAAAGGAACACTTCCTTTTATTTCCAGACTGGTGCAATGCTTCTCTTGACTAACGAGTTATGCAATGCATTTCTGCTGACACTTACTTGGCTTTTTTCAGATGAAAATCTCTAGAGGGGCTGGACTTGGGCTTACAGTTGATGGCCAAATCAAAACATATAATCCTGATCTGTCAAACTCCCTGATGCTGCAGACTACCAGTTTACATCACATGACTGTCCAATTCCTTTTTGAATGTTTCTAGTGTAGGAGAGTCCACAACCTCTCTTGGCAACTGGTTCCATGGTCATATTGCTCTGACAGTTAGCAGACTTTTCCTGATACTGAGCCTCAATCTGGTTTGTTGCAACTTGAGCTGATTATCCCATGTCCAACACTCTGGTTTGAATAAAAAGAGATTTTGTCCTTCCTACTTCTAAAGTGCTATCATGTCCCCCAATGTTTCCATGAATATGGAAACATTGATATCAAGCTGTTATTATTTCATTCAGATGTAAATTTAAATTTCATTAAAATACAAGCAAGCCCTTTAGTCAGAGCCTCTAAAATATTTCATTTCTTTTCCTACAAGAAATTCATTCTACCTTAGTGGAAAGTGTTGTTAATTATTGTCTCAAAACCAAATTTTCAAGGAATGCCCAAAGCCTCTCATTTATTTATTTATTGCTTTTATATACCATTCAATAGCCATATATGACTCCCAGATGTAGAGATTGCCTTCTGTATTATCACCAAAATAATAATATTTAATGCACTTTTATCTTGTCCTTCAGCCAAAATTGCTACTAGAAAATACTTGCAAAAACATAATAAGGCAATCCCTGCCCAGAGGTTCACAACCTAAAATACATGGCACAAAAGGAAAGCGGATTAGAAGGAAAGAAGACAACGAATTTTGGGCATTAGGTTCTTGGTTGCAAAGGTCAGCAAGCCATGGAGTTGGACTTAATTGCAAGTGGAAGAGCTGCTGGCTTTCTCTTCCTCCAAAATCCTTAGGAATGGCAGTCAATAAGAGGAAGAAGGGCTCTCAACTGCTCCAATATCCAGGCACTATAGAGATCTGGATACCTAACTGCTGTTGCCTCTCCCTCTGGCCTCAGCAGTGACGGTTGATAGCAATATGTGGGGCTGGGGATAGAATATGATATGGTGCCCTTGTGGCTTTTAATATGCCTGTACTGCAGATTTGCAGTTGACTGTTTCCACTAAAAACTTCCCATGGGAATGCTCACATGTAATTAGCCTCAGGATTGCAGCCCATCTTTTACTGTAATTACTGACAAATTCCTGACCATTTGTGCTTACCATTCTATCCCTACCACAGTAGTAAGTTTCCAAATCTAGATACAAATAACATGAGACTTCACTATTCAGTGACTATGGGTTGACCTTTTTGTCACACAGTCTGTGCAACTGCCTGAATGTAAACGGTTTTCAGTTTGCAGATGAGATGTACAACCTCTATGGTGGGAATGCAGTAGTAGAGGTGGTGACCGTGAAGACATTTGACACTCCCTTTGTGAGGAAATCACGATCCATTCTGCAGGCTTCCCAGGTTTGCCATTATATTTTGAGATTACTTTCATGAGGACTGTGAAACATATTTTTTAAAGGCCACAAGTTTAATTTTAAACTGTAGGAACCAGTGCCTGGAGTTTTCCATGAATGAGGGGAAGATCTGTTGTTGGGATTCTACTTCAATGAGCACTCCCAATTCTGCTCCCCATAGACAAATGTCTTGGCCCGTTTACAGGTTTTCCCAGCAGCCTCTGGTTGACTATTTGCATGGCAAGTTGAAGAAGGAAAGGAGCAATGGGAGTTTCTACTCTTTATTTCTTTCCTAACTGATCATTCTGTGCAAATGAAATCCCTGAAGCCTTGAGAAAGTCATTAAGCAGGGTTCAGTAATTACACTTAAGTGGAGTGTGGCAGTATCCTCTGGTGAACATGAATGACCTGGGGAGAGTTATGACAAGATCAGCCCAAAATGTAGACCCCCGGTGAGTACTGGGATGAAAACAGCCAGGCCGATTAGCCAAGCTAGTATTTGTGACACTGTAGCTGTGTGAGTTACTTGATGCAAGAAGCTTCATCCCATACAAAGGCAGCCACTTATCCAGAACATCTCTCGCTTCTTTAGGGAAGGGGTACATGAAAGATCTTTCAGCCTACCTCTCTGGCTATGCCAGATGGGGCTGTTGATTTATAGGTCAAACATCTTGAGAATCACAGTTTGCCCACCCTGCTTTAGAGAAACCTGTAATCTTGCTGCATGAATACATAAAGCAGTTCCATTTTCCCTTTTAACAATGCTCTTTTTCCTCATTGTAGAGCAAGCCTGAAAATCCATACAACCTGGGATATCCATACAACTTCAACTATGCTGTTGTTTTCAACATAATTTTCTGGATCATGATAGCCCTTGCTGTAGCTGTGATTGTCATCTCCTATAATCTCTGGAATATGGATCCAGGTTATGACAGCATCATTTATAGAATGACCAACCAGAAGATTAGGATGGATTAAGTTTCAGAGGCAAGCCTGAGAGGAATTGGGCTGCTTGCATTGCTTTGGCATGGTTCCCTGTGGACTTTTCCGTGCAACTATCTCTGTGAAGTATCCCCTTGTGTTTTCATTGAGGATGTATTTAAAAGGTTAACAGTGGGCATAGTCAGACTTTGCGGAGCTGAAACTGCACACTGCTATGAAATCTTCAGCTAATTCTTATTTGCCGTATGTGTAAATGATTTCATTTTATGGCTGTGCAATATGCACTGAGTTCTAGAGATGCTCCTCTGTATTGTGTGACTAAATGTGTGAAACAAATGCACTGAAAATATGCTAGGAAGTTGCTTTATTTTAAATTCTTTACTCTGAATGTTGTTTTGGGATAAGATTATGAAGTTCACATTTTGATGATGTAAATATTTTATTTTGCTGTTTATAGTGAATTAGTCCATTTTATGCTGAACTTCAGTCTAAAAGCTGCTTGAACCAGAGCTGTTCTGTTAAAATTGTGTGTGTATACTTGGCAGCCATCAAACATTTATTTGGCATTGATGTTTTTCTTAAAAAACCATGCCACTGTAGCAGCAAGCAGTAGAAATTGAAATAGTGAAAGATCCTGTAGTTAAATGTCACAGGATTGTTTCAATATTGCTTTTGACTTTATCAATATCTGGCTCTTTTCAAGGTTCCTCCTTTACAATATGTTGTGAACCAGTTGTTAAATGGCCCATGGTACTTGCTAATCTCCGGCAAGTTTGGTGCCCTTGTAAGTCGCTAAGATCAGCTCTCAGCCCTTGTTGCAGCAGCAAGTAAATGTATCCTGACGCATGCTGAAAGTTGTTTCTTTCAAGTGGTTGTTGTATACTCAAGTGGCATACATGTTTCCTACATTGAAGATTATGTGAATAGATTTCAAATTTAAAAAATTAAAAACAGACCAGAAATTGTAAAAATTAGAAGGTGTAATAGGCTCCAGCAATGCTTTATGCATCAAGCTAGAGATGTTATGTTGGGAGGTTCTTTAGCTTCATTCTCCGTTACCACAATACTGATCACTAGCCAATGTGGCATGAACATCATCCCTACCTGGTTGTATGTTGGTACACGATGCATGTCTAGCAGTATAAATGGCAGAGGTAGACTCTCCAGTATGAATAACTAGAATAGCTGCAGTATGAATAACTTGAACTTTAATCTCCAGTACGAACAGCATTACGGGCACTTCCTACTCTCTAGATTTTTTGGTTTAAAGTTCTCATAATCTTTGAACATTGACCATGCTTCTTGCGCTTTAGAGGAGCTGTAAGTCAAAAACCTCTGGGAGAACACCCAGTTTATTTAACACTGCTGTATAAATAGCTCATTATATTTAACAGTTGGTCCATTGAGAAGTTCATAAATTTAACATAACTCATGGGAGGCTGTGCACTTCTTTGTGATTTGTCCTAGTTCATATTAGGTGGTTTCCTGCAGTAGCATGTAAACTACACTTTCACCATTTTATAAATAAACATCTTTGGCTGTACCCTAGATTGAATCTGCAACAGGAGCCACTGTGCTGCAAGTAAATACCACTTCAGTTAAAGTTTGAGTGGGTGATTTGCAGTGAATGTCAACTAGTTCTTTGCATTGCTTTTCCACCTTTTGTGTTTTCTGCATAGAGTTGCTAGATGAAAACTTCATTTCTAATATGAAGACTAAGGAACTTCAGTCAAAAGGAAATGAATTCTTCACAGTGGTTATTGAATGTATAGGGATCTGTAGGAAACCTGAAAACCGGTAGATCAACAATTTGTTCCTTACAATCCTAAAATGAGGGTGCAACTATCCCAAACAAGAACTGAACTGCAATGTAGTAACAGGCTACAGGCAGGATCCAGTCTAGAGTTAGGCCTAAGCCCCTTGATTTCAATTAATTGTGTACCATTGGTCTGTGAGGCTTTGTGATAGTGTAACCGGAATCCATAGAATAGGTTCTAATAATTCAAATACTGTGACAACATAAGGTTTTCAACTGGCCCTGAGTCAGATGATCTCTCTTAAGACCCAGTTAGAAATTACTACTAATACATTCCATTAATTTCTATTGATCCTGATGTGGTTAGCTTCTTTAGATTACAGCCTTGGTGTGAAAGGAAGCCTTGGAAACATAGAAAAGATATTATTGAGACAGCTGGTAGAAGACCAGTTTTGCTCTATTGCTTTGATAAATTAGACAGGAGAAATAATAAAGGAGGCAAAATCTTACCAAATTATGTTGCATTGTACCAGAGTTGAGAAATCCGTGTCCTCCTTATCAAATTGGTTTAAGTTTTAGATTTGAACAAATTCTTAAGATCGGGCCCATTCTTGGTCTTCTGAATATTTAACCCTATAGTAACACCTGTTTCATTGTTTGGCTACCAATTGATCATGAAGGCATTAAAGTTTTTGAATTTATGTGGAATAATAAATGTTTGGCCTGACCAAACACTTCTGTGTTTAACTGCACCTAATGAATAATTCTGTTAAATTTTCTGCTTTTTCTTTATATCACCATGTTCCTCTGTCTTTATGCTTCTCAAAAGCTACCAATTAGAAGTCACTTCCTATGTGATCCTATGTATCTTATGTAGTGGTATTTTCTCTTGTCTTTGAGTCCTTGTATACATAACACAAGAATCCTGAGCATGTCTGTGAGTTAAGTCACAGTAATTTTATCTGTACTTATTCCCTTATGTTATTTTGTATTGCTAATATATAAATGTCACAAAGTATTTTTCACATAAGTGAAACAAAACCAATTGTTCTGTATAGAAGGAGCACAGTGCCACACCTCTGAAAGTAACCCTGTATATAACACCAAAGAATTTCTACATTTTGAGAAAAGAGTTTAATGGAATTCACCCTTCAGATTTATTCTCTGACGTTTTATAATTTGCAGTTTGGTCCAAATAGGGTCCCTAAGGTAGCTTATAATTACATTATAATAAAATTTTAAACTTTTTTTTTAAATCAGCAGAATTAAGAAAATGAGAATCTTAAAACAGAATGTAAAGATAACACATTTAGGATACAATCCAGTGGCCAACAGATGTTCCCCGTGCAGTCATAGGAAACGATGGAGTCCCTGCTGTAACCTCAAGGAAGCCTTCCAAGTGCCCCCACACCCTCTTGGCCAGCCCGGTTCTTTTCACACCAGCGGAGCCCCTGAACATAGAAGAGCATCTCTGGGAGGGGAGGGGCAAGCTATTTAAATATGTTCAGAGCAAGGGAAGAACAGATGCAATTCCCACCTCAACTGGATCCTGTAACACTCCAAGTTTAGAAGGCCACAGGCCACTACACAAATTGCACCCATAAAATAGTAAGAAGTCATATGGAACAAAGGTGACTTAATACTCTGCCTGAAATGAAACAACGGAGGGGCCTAACTGGGCACAGGTGGGCTGGTGCACTTTGGCAAACACTCCCATGGGAAGCTAGCCATGCCCCTTTTGCTGACTCTGATGCCAAAGATGAATATCACAGTAGGACTGAGGGCCACCCAGATGTTCAAAGTTCTGGGACACACCCAAGGAGGTGGAGGAGCTGATAATTCAAGGGCAGAAGTGGAGGTGGATCAGGCAGACTCTGGAAACAGTATGGAGATACAGGAAGTGAGAGGGGCTGTTGATGCTGGGGAAGCCTCAGGCAGAGATTAGCCACTCCACACAGAGCTATACTCCATGGCTGAGCGGTAGCAGTGGTGAGAAGTCCAGCTGGTTGAAAAGCATGCAGAAAAAAGGTGTGCTCACCGTCACCTCTCCCCAAGGGCTGGCTCACGAGCAAGCTCGTAAGGAGAAGTTTGGGAACTAATAGCTAAGTTGGGTTCAAGAAACTGCTTTGGGTGTTGCTCAGAGACTTGACTGGATGATTTATGTGGAGAAACAATTAAGAGAGTTTTGCAGAGAATGGCTTGAAGTTGGTGGTTGTTGGAGGGAGGAAAGCAACTAGTGGCAGGGCCAGCCTAACTTGCTCAGGAAAAGAGTTCCAAAGGTGAGGTACTGCTACAGAATATGGTATGTCCCCACTGAATTCACCTCTCTTGGGAATGGTTAAAAGGAGATCACCTTTCTACAAGTTCCTTTATGACACTAATGTCTGGCATTTCCATAGAAGTGGCAATCTTCATTCCATGTGCTTCGTTTATTCTAACGGAAAATCTAAAACAGAAGCACAGATAGTAATCTTAACTTACATTGAGTTTGCTATTTCAGCATTACATATTAGGTACAATGGAGTGAAAGCAAAGTTCTATAATCAAGGCCCATTGTGTTTCAGTGGAACTTGTGTATAGCTGGGTTGAACATACTGAGTTTGTGGGCAGTCACTTGGAGCAATTTCTGTATTTGGCAATAAAACTAAGATACAACACTTTTGAATTGGCAGCAAGCAGGGCACCAGCAAACACTATACCCCATACACTATGCCTGCACCCCCAGGGGGTATGAGGTGGCATTTCAGGGGGGTGCGACAAAGAGGAAGGCTGTGTTGTACTTCACCAAAATTTATGAGTTGCAACATTTTTGCCAAAAATTATCCCAATAATAAAATTATTACTATTTTGGATTCAGTTCTCTTTTTCTTAATCAGGACAAAAGCTAAGAATTGACTGAGTTCACAGGCAGATTTGCGGATTGCAGTTTGCAAGAAAGTTCCACATTTGGACAAATTCGTGAATGAGAAGCAGGAACAAAGAAGTCATTGCATGTTCTGTTCACAATTGAACTTGTTTTTACTTTTTACAATTTTTTCCTAATTGCTCAATTTATATTTGAATTTTATGCACTGAGTTAAAAGCTTTTTTAGTTCAGTTTGTTCACCTGCAATACTGTTAGGTGGTTCAATTTGTGGTTAGAAAATTAGAAATATGACTTCGTTTTCAAATGTGATATTACTTTTGTAGGCGGTGTGAACATAAACATCTTCTAGGGGTACAGGGCATAGAAAGGGTTGGGAACTACTGCTGTGCATTACCTGTGAAGTATCTGACACCAATTGCTATTATATCAGCTCAGACAACATTCAGGGAACTAAAACAGTTTGCAATCCAGCTTCCTTAAGGGAGAGAGAAGTCTTATTTGACTTGGATTAAAATGACACAGTAGCAATTAGAAGGCAGGGAACAGGTCCTGAAGCACTGGGAAGCTAGAGGAAAGGGTATTCAAAATAGACTAAAAGATAAAGCTGCGAACTAGGAAGAAACAAGGAAAGTTGGGTTGCAGCTGAACATTGAAAAGAAAGGAACAAGGGGCAGAAGCAAAGAAAAAAGGACAAGTTAATTGGAAAGGGCTCTGAAGAATTCTCAGTACTTAACATGAAAGGAGGAAGATATGCCCAAGATATTGGTCAAGAGATACCTAAAGCAACTAGAATACAGTACACGGTGGCCTGAAAAGCAGCAATCCAGAAAAATTATGGAGGCAGTATGGAGTTGGACCCAGATTTTAGCTGAGTCAACTGCCCAGGCAGCCATCAGGAAATGCTACATGGATTCAGGAGATCCTACTGAATGTATTGAGCTGTAACACAGAAGAGGAAACAATCCCAAAAATGGAACAGAGCGACCTTCCATGCGCAGAAGACTTTCTCATGTGGATCCAGGACATGGGGTTGAAAAGAGGAAACAGCAACAAGTTAGGTAGATGGGAGTGGGAGCATACTGGCAGCTGGAAGGGTGCAGGCAATAGCAAACAGAAGGCTGAGGTGTGTGAGCCAGACAAACAGAGGGAAATAGGGCTGTCAATCCTACAACTTGGAGCTGCATAAAAGATTAGGGGTCATTTGTGGCTTCTATTCTCGCTAACATTGTGACTTGGCACTCCTAACAAAGCAAAGAGGCAAAAAGCAAGTGGGAAGCAATAAAAACAACACTTGCCTTCACCTTTCTCCTGTTTGTAATTAACTTCTTGGACCTCTTTTACTGATGCTTTCTGTCTGCACAACTCTTGTATTATGTCTTCAAGCTGCTGCATTTCACTGTGCAAACTCCTCTGAAGATCATGATTGTTGTGTAAGAAATCCCTTGCAATTTGTATTCTGTTCAAATCCTAAAAGGAGAAAATAGTACAAGTTCCAAAATACAGTGCATTTCATGTATTTCCCATATATTCTCTAATGATTTTGGGGAAGCATCAGCACCTCACTCCAGAGCTGAACAGGGGTCTGACCCCTCTAATTCACCTTGGGGAATTCAACAGCGACCTTTCCCCTCTAATTCCAGTGCTCTCTCCACTACACCCACAATATCTGACCTAGTGCATGCTCTTCCAAGATATACTGTTCCTGATTTTAAAGGATTTCTACAAACCAGTAGGGAAGTGTTGGTTGAAAAAAATGTATGAATGCATAAAAGGTTTCCTTTTCCACACATCTCTGGAAGCCGCTACTTCATCTAAAGAAGAGTAGACATCCTTTTCCCTATGATGGCCTGGCAACCCCATGGGAAAGAATCAAGCTGCAGTTGACGGTGGATGGGACCAGAGCCAGTTCCAAAAGTAGATGGAGTTTGTACCTCATTCCTTCCCTCTCACAGTACACCATTCCCAAAAGGGTGGTCTGAGAAGCAAAAATGGGCTTGCAGCATCAAAAAACTGGAAAATGCTGCAGGCCATGGGTTTTCCACCCCAATTCTGAAGCAAGAAATATACAGTAAAGCTGAAGCTAGGTTGCTACTATGGAAAAAGCTATGACTGTCTGGCAACAAATCAGAGGAGGAAATGAATAATAGTAGGCATCAGTCTGCAGATGCAGCATCGGGCAAAAGTAAGTCATGCCACAATTTCTGGCTGCACGCCATTAGCTGACTATGCTAATGGAGAAGATGAAAGGCAGTACAAGAACCCCATTTTGTTTGTCAGCTGTAAGCCTGAATTCCATCTTTTCTGGCTCCCGTGTGAACCAACACAATGCTAACAAGGAAAATGTGAATGCTGAAAAATGGCTTTCTCCCTGCCAAATGGAGCCCAGCAATCCAAACACCCCAGAGCTCTCCAGTTCCAGCCTCCACCCATCCTTCCCTCTGCATCACAGCCTAAGCCATTCAGCAGGGTCCCCCAAACCTCTGGGGAGGACAGTGTGGAGAAAGCTGCTTCTACCAGCCCAACCTGGAACCAACTGCCTGAGCACATGCTCTTGCCACTTCCTCCATTCAAGATAGATGGCAGCAGGCTCCTCTGGCATGCTCTTGAGGCAAGATGTTTCTTCGCCAGCTTATTTGTGCATGGTGAGGCAGTGAGGCCACTTTAACTGGTACCGTGAGCTGCTCAGCTGCTTCCTGCTCAGTGGCAGGGTGCTTCCTGAGTCGTTTTGTGGTAGTGAATAATCAGGATGCTTGATTTCAGTCCCGTAACAAGATTCAGTTTGCACAGTTCACAGGACTGTAACACAGGATTTGTAATGCAGCCTACAACTACAGTAGCATTGACCGATGGCTGTCCAGCCTCTGTTTAAATGCTGCCACTGGAGGAAATTCCACCACCTCTTATGGCAATCTGTTCCACCATCATAATGTTGGGACATTTCACCAAGTACTTAGCCAAACTCTGCTTCCCTATAATTGCCACCCTGTGATTCTCATCTTGACCTCTGAAATAACAGAGAGCAATTCTACTTCCCCTTCTGCATAGCCGCCTTTCAGATATCTTTGGGCTAAACACACCAGCTTTTATGACCATTCCTCACAGGACTTGTCATCTAAACCACCATCCTGGAAGTAGACAAAGTCTTTTTAGTGGACCTCAAAAGTAAATAAGCATGTCTGAATGGCCCAGTTTAGTTTAGTTTTTCTTTTCTTCAAAATGATCTGACAAAAGTAATAAAATAATCCCAAACATTCACTTTCACATTCCAACATTGCTGTTGGAAAATGTAAGCTATTCTTTTTCCATTGAAATACGTGTGGTTCCCCAGCAGTAGTTATCTCTAAGATGGGGAAGCTAAGACATTAATCTATTTGTCTGATCAAATTAGCTCACCATAGCTTGTCAAAACTATGGTGGGCTGCAGTGCATACCAGCTGCCTTTGTGAATGTGCAAGCTACAGCACATATACTGTGCCTCGTGTTATGCAAGGCCTGGCAACATACAAGCCTCAAATATATTCCCAGTACCCCACATGGTGTCCTAAGTGTGCACCATGAATCCTGTGGGTCTAAGAAATTGAACCAGCCCGCTGCAAAATGAAAGTTCCACCTCTCTCTCAAAGGCCACATAGGTCTGTGCTTCAGCTATGTGTTCAGAATAAGGACATGCTAAGTGTGGAAAGAAAAAGTGCAGAGAAAATAGCCAAAGGGACAGGGAAGAATCCGTTTTCTAAATTACAGTATTAAATACTCTGGGAAATACATTCCCAGCAGACAATCAAAAAACTGTCCAACTTAAAATTCAACAGAAATGTTTCGATTTGTTTGAATGCACGAGACATTCTTTTCTTAGGCAAGGCGTAATCTATTCACCACTGGAATAATCTTCTGCCAATATATTTTGATTTAACCTCTACATAGACTCAGCTGGCTTCTTAAGAATGATAAATTTCAAAACTCTAAGCCTGCTTTCATGTTTCCATATTGAGTTACCTCTTCTGACATCATTCCTTGTTCTTCCAAGAGAAGGCTCATTTCATGAAGTTTCTCTTTGATCAGCTCTGTTTCTATTTCGCTAATCTGGCTCTGGCTCATTTCACCTTCCAATCCATCAAGGTGATCTTCTCTTGGCACATGAACGTTCCAGTCAGATGACAGAAGCTGTTGGGTTGGTAAAACAACAATAACTCTTTGTTTAGAGCAATCTGTTCGGTGAAAAAATCATGACCTAAGGGACTGGATTTCAAGGCCAAGTCCCGTAGAGGATGTTATACGATATTAGTAAGGAGCACGCTATCCCCTGACATTGTGGCATTGCTTCTGTGACTACTGTCTGCAAATGTTGCTCTGAATGCACCATGCAGATCTTCAGACCTGGGCCAACACTGCTTAAGTCATCAGAGGTAAACAACACAGCGGCAGTATTCACACATATTGACAGGTCGTAACAGGAACACCTTCTCATTATGTGCAAATACAAGAGGCCTGGTGAAGCACGGTCCATTTGGTTACTGGTTTCTTCTAAGGTTTCTGCATTGCTTGTTGCTTCGTGCGAAGCCCGTGACAATGTTTTGCTGTGGTTCTGTGGCCAGTGAGTTCAGTGGCAACAGTGGCTGCAGCAGCCATGGCCACTCCAGCCATTGTCCACCGTCTTGTTCACCTAGCAGTGGCTGAGCTGCTGGCAGGCAGGGCGCTGATGGGCTGCCTCCGCACTCCTTTTCCTTCCTCCCGCTGTGCACTCCCCAATGCCTGGACACCATGCCTCGCTGTGTCACTATGATACCAGATGCAACTCAACTCTACCACACTGAGCTAAGCCAACCAGTTCCTGGAACTTTTTCAAAACCATTTAAGTGTATTTATTATTACATTTATACCCTGCTTTTTCTCACTTGCAAGGTGGCTAATATGATCTAGTTATCCTCACAACAACAATGCTGTGAGGTGGGTTAGGCAATGGGCAATTACTGAACCCCACTCACTCAGAGACCTGATGATTGCATGAGGACTAGAATCCAGATCTCCTAAGTCTCAGCCCAACACGCCACTACACCCCATTCACTCATATTTTAGAGACACATTTACATGATGTAGCCTCATTTTAAAAAATAGTGGTCATCCGCAAAGTTATCCTTCTGCAATAACAGCCCTGCATTTGTAAAAAGACAGGCTGCTTCCCCGTAACTGTTATTCTTCAAGCGGCCTTCTGTGCGTTCGCACATATGGGCTCAGGGCCTGCAGGAAGCCTGTTGCTGGGATTATTCTACAGCTGGGAGAGTGTTTGTGGAAAGCCCTCCCACACCTGCCACACAGGCACATAGGAGGGCTTCCCACCCGTTCCCATCTGCCGGCATTGTGGCCTTGGGGCCAAAGGAGGAAGTGGTATACCAACCCCAATACGGCCTTAACCCAATCTTTACCGAATAGATAAGCAAGTCAGGAGATGACACCAAAGAGGGGATTGTGGGTAGATTTTGTGAATGTACAGAAGATCACTGGAAGAACAATTATAGATAAGCACCTTGCCTCTTTTTCTTCATGGTCTCTGTGTATCACACATATGGGCAACCAGCCAGCTGACATTTCTGGGATAGGGTCAATGTCATTACAGGTGGACCGAAGAAAGGAAGAAGGAAAGGTGATATTGAGGAAGATACAGAAGAGGGAATTCTGTGGAGAAAGAGATTTATTAAAAAAAAAAAAAAAAGAATGTAGGGGGATAATGGGGAAAGTGCAAGAAAAAGATGAGGATGGAGTATCAAAAGTTACTAGAATGTGAATAGCAGTAAAGTGTAAGGAAAAAGCTGTGGATCAGAAGAAGGGATAGAACTCACAAGGCATGACAAAGGCGGTTGAAGAAGAACTAAGAAAATAGGCAGGGACCCCTCCTGTATACCAGTGCTGAGAGTGGGAGGAGGGCTTCCCACCAAGAGTTTTCCCAAAAACAGGCTCTGGGCAGGCACAGAACCCATGCACAGAGACCACAAAGAACTTTTACTAAAGCCCTGTTTGTTTGCAACATAGCAAACTGTCTCAAGACTAAATGCAACTTTCAAAAGCAACTTTTGTGATATTGGACAGGGCCTTACTGTAAAACTAAAACAAGATGTAAAAAACCACAAAGCACCAGTGCACCTAAACAAATTTCTGCCTTCTTTTGTAGACTTGCACATGACATTCATATTTAATCAGCTTGTGCTCGCTCGCTCGCTCGCTCGCTCACTCTCTCTCTTTCTCTAGATCTCTCTCAGTACCAAACAGGCTATCTGCTCTGCAGCGGGGTTACCCGACAGTACATTATTGGAAGATAGGATATGACACTACTGCTACTGAAAAGCCAAAGCTTTTAAAAATGCAGTTGCAATAGTTACACTAAATTATATCATTCTACAAAAAAACTTTGAATCAACAAAATCTGAAACAGCCTCAGAAACCAGTGAAAAGAAACAGAAAAGCTCTGCATTTATACTACAGTTCATCTGGCCAGACACTGTGTCATTTCTCCTTTTGTTGCAGAGTTTAGACAAATTAGGAGTAGGAGTAGGAGTAGTAAATTATAAGTGGGAAAAGCTGTTCGTGTCACCTTTTCAATCCTCACACAAGCTGTCACGGCCTCTGGAACATGCTGGAATTCAGTTAACAAATCTTGAACACGTTTTCCAAACTCTTTCAGCCAGGAAGAAGATACCTTCATATCTGAAGAATGCATTAGTTCATTGCGGCATTTAATCACCTAGAGATAGGAAATATATAGCAAAACTGGGGAAACTGTAGGAGCAGGGGAAGGGGGGTGCAAGCAAGCCACAGGCAGTTCTCCAGTTATACCACTTCACAGGAGAGCCACAGCAATCCTATTATCATTACCATTATCAACATTTCTATACTACCAGTAGCTGAAGCTCTCTGGGTGGTTCACAACATTGAGTCACCCATCCAGATTTCAACCAGGGCTGACTTTGCTTAGCTTCCAAGATTAGGCAGGATCAGGCACTTCAGGCTATATGCAAGCTCTTTGAGTCCTTGAACACTGTACAAGGGGCCACAGGTTACTGGGGATTTCCCCCTCTAGACTGGGGACAGTGGGGTGATCTAACCATGTCCCCACCCCTCTTCACAGAGAGAGAGAGAGAGATTGCTGGAGTGGAAAGTACCATGCTGACTGCCCTACAAAAAACAATCTCAGAAAGGGGAAAACGGGTGTTCTACTAGACAAAGAGATGTGGAGATCAGAGAGACCAGAATATGGGCTATCCTGAATCTCTGCCAGCCTCCTTCTCTCTGTCTCCAAAGTGCCATTGCTAAACTGGCAAAACTGCAGAGTGGGAGGAGAGCCAAAGACCACCTCCACAGAATCACACATTATCATCAATGTCACTAGCATGCAAACATTCCAGGTGCTAAGCAGCTTGCATGTATTATAGCCCCTGAATGAAGGCATCTCTGTTTCAGGGCTTTAAAATGTGTATTTCAACAGGTGCAGTATAATCATTTAACTATGCTACACGAGCATGCATGTGTATAACTATGAATATACATTTCACTAAAACATATCAGTATCCTAGAAATACTGTAACATTTTGCAAAAAACATGTAAGGTTTTCCTAAAACCTCTCCATTTACTATTATGAGATTAAATCAACCAAAGTATATGGATGTATCAATCCCTGAACGTTCTTATTCCAAAATCCACTTTCTTATAGAGTTGTTCACCTGTTATCCCCTTTCCTAACTGGTACCAAATTTCTCAGTGTGATCCTGTGGACCACTTTGACCAATGCCCTCTAGAGCAGTGGTGGTGAACCTATGGCATGCATGACACAGCGAGCACACAGGGCCCTCACTGTCAGCATGCGAGCCAAGTCGCCCCAGCACTGCCCAAGCAGCTGGATAACAGCGCACATAGGGGCCATGCACATGCTGAGAAAGGAGCAGCAGCACCAGGCAATGACAGTAGCCACGACTCATACGAGCTATGGCATGGCTGCTCAGGGCACTGCCAAGTATTTGCTTGGACTGGCTGTTACCAGGTTTTGTTGAAGTGTTGGCACATTGTGATAAATAAGCGAATTTTGAGATAAAGTTTGTGAATTCGCTCTCCTAAACGTTCACCATCACAGGTATAGGGTTAGAAAAACGAAGTGACCTTCTCTGATTTTGAAGGTTGGAATGTGCTTAGAATAGGCAGAAACGATGAGTTGTGCAGAAAAAGCAAATTAAGGAAGACTTTTTCAAAATCCCTCTCCTTTCAATGGAGCTTTAGCCCTATATTAGAATTATGTGGGGTGCACCAGGGTAGGGTTAGGGTTAGCAAAATGATGTGTCAAGGCAGGATGCTGATGCTTGGAATGTGTTCAGAATGGGCAGAAACAATGAGCTGCGCAGAAAAGGCTGCTCAAGGAAGGCTTTTTCAAAATCCCAGCATTTTCAATGGTATTTTACCCCTATAGTATTTTACCCCTATAGAGTGGTGCAAGGCCTGGTTCGCACGGGTCCCAAGGAAGATCCGGTTCCACCCTCAAAGGCCCGCTGTGACGACTTTGCCAGGCATTTCAGGGAGAAAATCGCTCAGATTCGTCACGAGCTGGACTCCACTAATGAATCAGAGGTTTCTGGGGAGACGCCAATGCTGCCGTCTGGTCCAGAATTATTGGATGAATTTCAGTTATTGCGGCCCGATGATGTGGACAAGGTGCTTGGACGAGTACGTCCCACCACTTGCCTATTGGACCCTTGCCCGTCTTGGTTAATAAATAATTCCAAGCACGGGATTGGGACCTGGATCTTGGAAGTGGTTAACGCTTCTCTGAGGGAGGGTCGGGTGCCTGCCCCTTTAAAGGAGGCGGTAGTCCGACTGGTCCTGAAGAAAGCGTCACTGGATCCAGAGATGGCCACTAACTATAGACCAGTGGCCAACATCCCGTTTCTGGGCAAGGTGTTGGAGCGGGTGGTGGCGGGACAACTCCAAGCACTCTTGGATGAAACTGATTATCTGGACCCATTTCAGTCCGGCTTCAGACCCGGGTACGGTACTGAATCTGCCTTGGTTGCCCTGTACGATGACCTGTGCAGGGAGAAGGACAGGGGGAGTGCGTCCCTGTTGGTTCTTCTGGACCTCTCAGCGGCTTTCAATACCATCGACCATGGTATCCTGGATAGGCTAGCGGGATTGGGGGTCGGAGGCACTGCTTTGCAGTGGTTCCGCTCCTATCTCAATGGCCGATTCCAGAAGGTAGTGCTGGGGAACTATGGCTCTGCGCCATGGCAGCGATGCCATGGAGTGCCGCAGGGGTCCATTTTGCCCCCTTTGCTGTTTAACATCTATATGAAACCGCTGGGAGAGGTCATCAGGTGGAGTGGGCTGCGGAATCATCAGTACGCTGATGATACCCAGCTCTACCTCTCATTTTCCACTAATCCAGGTGAGGCAGTGGCTGTGCTGAACCGGTGCCTGGCTGGGGTAATGGGCTGGATGAGAGCCAATAAACTGAAGCTCAATCCAGACAAGACGGAGGTCTTGTTGGTTGGCGGATCGGGCTTCGGAGAGGGTGGATTTGACCTGGCCCTGAGTGGGGTTGCACTCCCTCTTAGGGACAAGGTCCGCAGCTTAGGAGTACTCCTCGACCCGGAGCTTTCATTGGAAGCTCAGGTGACAGTGGTGGCGAGGAGCGCTTTCCTTCAGCTTCGGCTGATTCATCAGCTGCGCCCCTACCTGGAGTACGACTGCCTGGCAACAGTGACACACGCGCTGGTGACTTCCCGCCTTGACTTCTGTAACGCGCTTTACGTGGGGCTTCCCTTGAAG